TCTATCGGTATATTTTGTTATAAGGTCATGTCTTTTCTCTTGAAAAATTCTGGGGCAACCTTCCAACGTGTCATGACGTACTTTTTTTTAGGACTTATTACAACGCCAAATTGAAATGCTATATTGATGACGTAGTGATGAAATGCTATTTTTTAAAAAAATCATCTTTCAGACGTAAGGGTTGTTTTTGAGCGCCTTAGAAAATATGATCTGAAAATGAGCCCCTTGAAATGCGCATTTGGCGTATCTTCGGAGATGTTCTTTTTCTTAGTCCGATATAAAGGCATAAAGGTTGATCCTAAAAAATTCTAAACCATAGTTGATAGGGACCTCCCAAAAGTCTAACACAATTGTATTTTCTTCACAGGAAGCATGCGTTCATTGGGAGGTTTACCACAAATATTTATGGACGATGGCAACCCTTCGCTGCCTTCGTAAAGAAAGGGGTCTGTTTCTATTGAGATAAAGCATGTCAAGATGCTTTTGATGACATTAAATGTTATTTAATGAACCCAGAAGTATTATCAGCTCCAATCATATGGAAACCTCTGATATTATACATTGCCGCTTTGGATGAATCGGTTGGAGCTTTCTTAGCTCAAGTAAATGAGAATGTGAAAGAGAATGCCCTTTACTATTTTAGTAGACGTTTCATCCCAACTTAGATGAAATATCCACCAATAGAAAAATATTGTTTGACATTGATATTTGTTGTTTAAAAATTAAAACATTATTTGCTTTCCCACCGGATAAGTTTTAAATCCAAGGTGAAAATTGGGCTATGATACCATTGCAATTTGACATTGCATATGTCCCTATGCATGTCGTCAAAGGACAATCTCTCATTGATTTTCTAGCTGCTCTTCCCATTCGAGCTGATTCAATTTTGAACGATGTTTTTCTCGATGAACATCTGCTAGTTATCAATTCTCTTGAATGAAAGCTGGGATTGGGATGATATTTGTATCCTCAAAATATGGTATTATTCACTATGCATATAGTTTGACAGAGTCATGTCTAATGTTGAGGCAGAATACGAAGCCTTATTCCTTGGACTAGAGATTATTATCCAAATGAATATCAAAAAATAAAAGTATATGGATATTCCCATGGTGATCGGCCGAGTAATGAGGACCTACAAACTTTAATGTTATCATAAACGAGTCATGACGCAACTGGAGCATATCCCTGATATTACACTTGTAAAAATATCACATTATTTGAATGACAAAGCTGATGCTCTTGCTACGCTATCTAGTCCAAATGAGGTTTTGGTGACAATAGTTATTTAGGATAGAAGGGTCCCGTCACCCACATATTTTGATTCCTTAGAAGCGTCACCTTTGGGTAATGATAGCATAATACTAGTTGTTGCTGATGAATCATGTATAGATTGGTGGCAAGCCATTATTACATATATGAAAAAGAGGATACACCCTGAAGATCGTTCCCATATTGCTCAAATGCAGGAGAGCTCTTTCGTTCACGATTATTAATGATACATTGTCGACACTCATTTTAGTAAATTTGATTGTGTTGTCTTGGGAGAGATGAAATCCATAAAGTCATGATTGAAGTTCATGACGGTGTTTGTTGATCCCCTCTGCATGTCACAAAATGAAAATGAAAATCAAAAGACATGGTTACTACGGGCCTACAGTGTCCCTTTTTTGCATGGAGTATGCAAAGAGGTGTCATCAATGCTAGATTTTTAGCCCAATACTTCATAAACCCTCAAGTACTCTGCATTCTATAGTGGCATCGTGACCTTTCGAGGCCTAGGGAACTGATATTATAGTCGGCTCACCATTCGTCCTCTCAAAGACATAGATTCTTTCTCGCAGCTACTGATTATTTTTCTAAGTGGGTGGAAGCCATCCCATTAAGCGAAGTAAAGACCGAGAATGTATTACATTTTTTGAAAAATAATATTGTTTATTAATTTGGTGTGCCGCTTCGTGTCATTTCTGCTAACATGTTTGCTTTGAGAAATACTAAAATCAATACGTTTGCTCATCATTATCAGATTGCTTGGCGATTTTCCACGATATATTGTCCGGGAGCAAATGATTTGGCTGAGGCTTTTATAAAACCTTGGTAAACCTTATAAAGAAATTTCTACATGCAAAAAACAAAAGAATGGCATGAGAAGCTCTTAGAAGTTTTGTGGGCGTATCGTACGACATATCGTACACCCACTTGTGTTACTCCCTACGCCTTGACCTTTGGGTCCGAGACAATCCTTTATTTGGAAGTTGAATTTCCCTTGTTGCGTGTTGCAATAGGCAATCAAATAAATAGTGAACATAATGTCTGACTTCGGTTGAAAGAGCTGGATAATCTTGAGGGACTCTGTTTGCAAGCCCAACAAAACCTCGTGCTATATTGTGCTCGAATGACAAAGCCTATGATAGGCTGGTAAGGCCAAAGACCTTCATGATTGGAGACATGGTGTTGCGTTATGCCGCCCAATTGTGACTCTCTGTAAAAGACACGGTAAATTTGAGTCCATATGGGAAAGACCCTTTGCGATCGGATCAATGCAGACGGATCTCATCCAATGCCACCCATCAACGAGCGATATTTGAAGATATATTATGCTTAAGCTTACTTGTAATCAATATATTGTGTATTTGATGTATTAAGTACTTGAAGCATAAGAATTTTGGTGAAAGCTCAAAGTTTAAATGTATTTGTAACTCAACTTTCAGCAATAAATATATGACATCATTCGATATGTTCTTTCATATGTGAAGATTTATTTGTGATAAAAGATGTGTTAGAGAATTCATACGTTTTTCTTATATAATTTCTTGGTTGTCATCCAGACGAGGTGTAATTTCCTTCAAGGTGCCTTGTACCTGAGAATAAAAAAAAGGTAATGTGAGCGAAGTGATGTACTTCTCTTCATGTATTTGCCAACTACGCATTTTCATGCGGGGTCCGAAACAACAATATCCACATTCATCATGGTAGGTATCATTAAAAGATTGAATCCTAATATACGTGGTGCATATCTTTAAAAGATTTACAAAAGAATTTGGGCTAAACTATTTCTGCTTCTTAAAGCCATTCCATATTTAGCCAAGGGAATTTATGCCTTGGCTAATGTATGGAATTAAAGCAATAAATCTTACCTTGCAAGTTTATTTACTACATATTGTATTGGCTCAAGCATCCTGCTTCGTTAGTTGATCCATGTCAAGTCAGGATACACCTCTCCTTGACATTCTCATTAAAAAACCTCCCAATATCTGTCTAGAAATATTTATGTGCCTGTCTAATATGCTCTAGAGACATCTTTTGTGCTTACATTTATTATATAATAATCTATGAGACTTCTTATACCTCTACTAACTATGGTTGCGAAGCCCTGTCATAGTAAGAGCCAATATCAACTCTATAATTAAATTTTCGTTTTGCAAGATGCTATGACATTGTTGAGTTTTTCATAATGATTGAATCTCCTTTTTCACTGCTTATGGCGCTTTAGCAGATGATGCAACATCTTTGTGTGAGCCAGATAGGTGTTTTTTCTTCCTTATAACACCTTTAAATATCTTCTCATAGTGATTGCATTTCAAATAAAGACGTGTTTTTGCTACCTCCTATCATCTTGTACACTATGACTCTATGTCAGATCGTTTCGATTATCAAATGTGAATTTCTCCTTATCTCTAACCATTTCTTACAAAAGAAACTGGAATGAAATTTTTGTTTCAAAATTCAAAGAAATAAAAAAAATAGTAGGGTTTAGAGTTGTAGAAATTTTAAAACTTAATGGTTTTGGAAAGAAGACTATTTGGTGAGGTGGAGGGGGCGATGACGACGACGACAATGACGGCAGTAATAACATGTGTCAACGACGACAATAATAGGAGCTGCCGCCGTGGATGCAGTAGAAGCTGTAGGTCATGGCGACTGCGGAAGCAACATGAGACAGAGAGGTGGGAAGGTTGACTGGTTGTATGTTTGAGAAATAGAGAGGGGGATCTTGCATCTGAGGTGTGTGCGAAGCGTTGGTTCGAAGCTGAACTGTTTTTTATAGGATATAAAATCCTAGTGAAGTGACACATATGGCTCAATCTAAATGAGATACGGTGAGACACACCTTACCGAAGCTGTTCAAGGTTTGTGCCTTAATGCATATTTCTTCTTAATTGCAAGGCGCCCTTCAAATTGCACAATATTAAAGATTGGAACTCATCTTACTAAATTTTCTAACAATAAATAAAACGCCATTATAGAAATATCTTGATAAATTTAAGTTCAAACTACCTCTAAGCTTATTATGGGATAATCAACATACAAATAATTTATAATATAGCAAAATAATAGTTATTAATAAATTTAAAATTCATGTGCGTGTGTGCTTGTGTATGTGTGTATATATCTCTATATTTATATCTTAAGACAAAATGTATATTATGCCTCATGCTTGGGCATGGAGATTGACCATCTTGGATTCATGTTTTACGCTTGATCAAAAATTCATTGTCGTGGAGTTGATGAAAAAAGTCCCTACATTCACAATAGTAATAAAAAAAAGTATTCATGTCATAGAAACTTCTTCATTACTTATTTTTAGATGAATCAATTATCATCCACTAGCTAACTGCTAACACTATGCTGATAAATTAACTAATTGGTAACAAAGTAATAAACTTGAAAAATATGAAATGATGTTTAAAGTCTAATGAATGATTGAAATATTCAGCATAAAAAAATTATACACAAAATTTATACCCACATCATCTCATTAGCATGAAATACATATAGATGATAGAATTTCATTGTTTTAGTTTTACGAATTTTCCTTCCCCAGCAAATATTTGATTCAGCTGAAGTTATTTGTTTTTTTTAAATGTTTTTCTCAATTTACTATTTGTTTGATATGCTTAGGTTGATTGTAATATTCTTTTCCTGATGACTTATCTGCATTTTTCCTACAATAAATCCAATCTTGGCAATACATTTTTAATTTCTGTGAAACATCCTAGGTGGTCCCAGTGGATCTGGCAAAACTAGTTTGGCTCAGAAGATGGCTAATATTGTTGGCTGTGAAGTAGTCTCATTGGAGAGTTATTATAAGTCTGAACAAGCAAAAGACATGAAGTATGATGATTTTAATTCATTGGATTTGTTACTGTTATCAAAGGTATCGTATTTATTATTTTTTAAATAACTATGCTTTATTCCTGTGACTTGCAACTTTTGTGACTTGTTCAATCTTTTGAAAATTCTTTTTGTTGCTTTGTTGTGAGTTTTATTTTCATTAGCTTGCATGCATTGCTTTGAACGCCAAATTACTCTAGAACTGCAAGATTACAATCTGTCAAAGTTTTTTCTTGGATATTTACAAGCACAAATAATGTATAAGGTTACGCCTTGTTAAAGCTTGCTCCTTGTCTATGGTGCCGTGCTTATTATCCATCTCACTAGCCCAATGTTGTTTTTCTTCATATTTGCGTGATATCAGGTCAACTGATCAGTTTTATGATTAGTTTTAAAATAAAAAATCAAGTAGAGATTTTGTTTTATGAGAATTTTTTGAAATAGTTTCATATTTTTGTTAGGTGCAAGCCTTTAGGATTAATTATTCCTCTTAGTCACTAGACAGTACCTTTGATGCGGATGATAATTGCACCGTCATAATTCTGCTAACTAACCGATCTGGAGGCACATGCTATATTTTTATTAATATTGAGATTTTTTAATGTGATTTTATGGACACATTCAATATAACATTATTTTTTTGTGAGTTTTGTTCAAATTTAAATCAGTAATTTTATTTGGAGTTGTTCAACTTCGAATTTTAAAGAAAGCTTTAATCAACATTGAAGGAATATTCTTTGTAATTGTGTATTCTCTTAATAAAAAGTATATATACAAATTTAAGTTTGGGATTAGAATATTCTCGGCGTGGGATTAAGTCTTAGAGTAGCTAGACTACTCCCAACTAGAGAGCTAAAGACTGAGCTAAAGACTAGCTTTTTTCTTGCAGATGAAAACTCAATACTTAAGGAATTCATCTTTCATTCTTTTAGTCCAAGTCACAATGAATTCGCTATTCATTTTCTTAGTCCAAGTCAAAATATAAGGAAAAATATGTATAATGCAATTGAAAGCAAAAAACTCCTTTTACTTCAACAACAATCAATTTTGGAAACTGTTCCTACAAAATTTTTTAATACCTAAAGAATTATTTTGAATATTGTTTTTGGTTTACAATTTGAAGTCATTTTAGTTCAAAGCATTTATTTTGTAAAAAACAAACATCATTTCATACATTTTGATTATATTATTTATAAGAAAAGCCTGCTCGCTGAATTTGGATTCTCCCACCGTTTACGGCATGATCTGCATTAAGGTGAGGGTGATGATCTAGATGTCGGCTAATCTAAATAGATATTTTTGCAAAGACAAAAACTTTGTCAAAAGTTGAGATCCATTCAATGATATTACTTGTCCATTGATATATTTAAGAGGAACGATCGAGTAAAATTTGAAGGAAAATCTATACAAGTTATTCTTTAGATGGACGAAGCGCCAATAGCAGATCGGCCTTTAGAAGGACCGAAGTGCCACTAAGAGTATGGTGGAGAAGAATAGGGAAGGAGGGAAAGAAGTGGTGGTAACAAGGGATTACACCATTAATCTCCACAAACGGCTACATGTGCCATAAAAGAGACAGAAAGTTTGCTCAAATGGCAAGGGCGACAACAGAAATAAGAATAAATGTTAATGTCAATAGGGAGATCTGGAGTAGAGGAATCCGAAGCGTTCCTAGATGAGTTCGTCTGAGAATTGGTCGCAAAAGAAATGGGGAAGAAGATGCCAGGGAAGAATTTTATTCACTTGTGTGACTGTTGCTGAGGTCCCTCTAGAGGGTCTCGACAGGTGGGGAACAAAGGTTTTGATGAGGCTGACTGAAGAAACCTTCTGCGCACCTAAAAGGTTTAAGTTTCTGTTTTCTAGGCAGCTTCTCTTTCTCTGCATGCTTGGATTATACTTTCTGTATTTCTGAATTGCTGTGTTTTTGTGCTATTTGCTTGGCATCTGATACTGCCTTCAAACTGTTTGATAACTATGATTTTTGTCTTCAAATATTTCATATACTGCTGAATTGCCATGGTTTTTAAGTTACAGTAATTATGATTTGTTTTGGTGAAAAAAATTGACATACACGATGTTCATTTTTTCCAGAAGTCTTGAGTTACTCTTAGATGAGATAATTTAAAATCTAATACTTGTTCGTTCAAACAGCAATCATTCAACATATTTACTCAAGCTGAATGGTTGGAGTTATATTGAATTCTATAGAATTATGGAGGAAGACGAGAAATTTTATTTGAAGTTTTCAAAGTATAAAATTTCTTACAAATAAAAATGGAGAAGTTGCTAATGAGCCACTTCTGTTGCTATTAACGCTTTGCTCATTGTCATCAGAACTCAAACAAGCCTCTGAAAACTCAATACTTAATTTAAATATAATTTTTGAAGTCCTTATACTTGGAGGAATGCCATTTTTATCCATCATTTTCTTCAGGAAAATTCTGACGTTATCTTTTAATTTGGCAAATAATAGTTTTTTTGTAGTCGAAATATTGAATGAAAGTCTCTAATAACTGATTTTCATGTTATTTATTTTGTAACAATCCAGTCTCAATTACTGGGGGAAGGAAACGAACCGCGTGAGGAATCATAAGGCTGAACAGAAGGAAATGAAGCGAGGAGTCTAGAAGTTGCAGCGAAGTGTCGAGAAACCGAATAGAGGAGAAACGAGAAGGTCAGAAGCCAAGAGGTTACTTTCGCCTATAAAAGGACCCAGTTGAGGGAGGAAGAGGTGAAATTGACTTAACTGAGAGTCGAGAGGCGTGCAAAGAAGAGGACGACGTCGGAAGAGGGAGGCGGCAACGTCGAGTGCTTCGCTGCTTTTTTAAGCCGCAATTAAAGTAGTTGAGGATGAAGTTGTAAGTCTGTTGAGGAGCATTCCTTTCGTGCATAAAAGCTTCAACCGTGCCCTAGCTGACCATCAAAGAAGAGAAGAGAAAGAAAGGAGGAGATGAATGGCTTGGAAGAGTTACGGTAGTTGGGGAAATTAGGGAGTGTTCATGACACTAAAGATTTCTTGTGGTGGGAGATTTGGCGGGGGGGGCGTCATAATTCTGCTAACTGACGAGCTTGTCTGGGTTACAGCTGTGAGTGCTGGTTGGAGGATAGAGTTACGGGAAGGGAGGGGACTCGAGTAGTGATTTCGGCCCAGAAGAGGGAATGGTTGGAGAGGAAGTTGGGGAAGATAATCACCACCTTTGTAGAGGAATACAACCGGAGCACCATCCAATTTGTTGGATATAGCCCTAGAAGGGAAGTGGGGATGTCGACAGTTGTCCCAGACAAAATTCTGATATCAAACTTACAAAACATTGCCCTAATTCAGAAAACACACATAAATAGAGATAGAATAGGCGAGAAATGAAATGTGAGGGTGCGAAAAATTTCCGCCGAATGAAAAGAGGGAGAAGGGTCGGTCCAGCCTCCTAGTAGATTGAACCTCTTCCAGCTAAACCTGTTGGGCCTGATTCAGCCCTTAAGCCCCGCCTCATGTTGCCTATTTTTCGTCATGTGGTGAATCTGTATCTTGAAGAGAATAGATTGGTGGATTGTTCTCGTCATCCTTACCTATTTGTTTTGCTGCTCACCTTGTTGTTTTTAAATCAGACAATTACTAAACAGCTTCAAGGCCCTTTCAAACTTTGTTGATTTCACTCTCTTCCTCTACCCCACTCAACAGGGATTACAACTTACTCAAACCACACGTAATCCCCAAAAATATAACAAAAAGAAAAGTCCTAATCATGGTGGGTGTATTCGGTGGATATACCACTTCCCCTTCCCCTAGATCTAGGGAGAGAGTTCAACAACATACTGAGATGTGAGCTTCCACCCGAAACTATGAGACAGTCATCCTGAAAATTACTGAGATCTAGCATTCCTTTTTTCTTCTTTCTAGATTTGTAAACCTGCCAATCATCTGCCAGAGGTAGTCCCGTCTGAACAATTGGTGGATCTTCAAAGCAGAGCTCACCCCGGGGGTATGTTGATCCGTAAACTGCTGATCTGACTCAGCCTGCAACACACCTTAATTCTGACACTCCTCCAGAACTTGAGTACTCTCTTATGTTGCAATAGGTGATTCCAAGCCACTTCGACTAGCATCTGCTACAACAAAATTCGTAGCATTTGTGATATGAGGAAGAGCTGCCTCAACAATAGTAGGCGAAAGCCGCCGATCTGGTTGGTGAGGAGTACCCTTATGAGTCAAATTCTCATTCAACATTTCTGGACGATTAACAGTGTGTGCTATATTTTCCCTCACATGGATGATGTTGTTAGGAACTGCCGATCTCAAATGTGGGTGAAGCCTAAAGCATTTGATAGGGGTGTGCCCAAACAGTTTACAGTGATTGCAGTAGTTGGGTCTTTGTTCTGCAATAATTGACTGCCAATACCTATTGTGGGCAATGCCAATCCATATTTCGTCCACTTCAGGGAGGGTGATATCCATTTCAACAAGAATTATTGCAACCGAAGGCCTGGTTAGATTGAAGGAGGTTGTATCCAATTTCGTAGGTTTCCCTAGTGCAGCTCCAATAAAATAGAAGACTTGGTGATTGAAGTAGTGCAACTTTAGGTCAGATAGTTTAAACCAGTTTAAACCAGATTGGAACTAAGATTGGAACTATAGGTGGTTCTTGGCTATGGTCAAATTCAGGAGACCACTCAAGCAGTTTCATATATTTCCCATTTATTATCATAAATTATTTGGAAAATATTTTTGCATAGCCTTCCACCTTAGATAATTGTATCATCATATTTCTCCCATCAAAGAGACCAACCTTCCAAAGTCCCAATAGTTTGAATCTTCAAAAGCCTTTCGAACGATTTCCATTTTAGGATGTCCCGATTGGAACTTCCCAATGAGGGTGAATTTGCACATGTTAACCAGGATGGAAACTTCAACATCAGAGAAAAATAGAGCTAGTTTGCCACTCTTCCCACACGTCTTCTTGATAAGGTTGCAGTCCTCCTGGCCTTCGAATGATTCATGGTAAACCTGAGGGAAAACCTGATCTGATCTGATCCCACATAGCCAACCATATCAGCAAAAGAAGCCTTCCCAAAGTTTAAAACTAAAGTAGTCGGTGGTTGAGAAGGAGCAGTTGCCATGGAACTGGGAGTGGAACAGCAACAAGCTACAGGGATTGAGTCTGGACTGCGATCGTAGCTAACGTACATGCAGAGAGGACGGTTGCGAGTGCAACGCTCAATTCAGAGTTTTCAAGCAGAAAGAGAGGGAGTCGAAGCCGAGTCCACGCACAGACAGCGCTTCGTGGCAGTGACGAGATAGACACGTGAAATCCGTGGATGAAAGTGAAGAAAACAATGATCACACAACCAAAGAGGTCGGCGAAAAGGACTAAGTCAATGTTGAAGCCGAGGAAAAATAAAACGCCATCAGTGCATTGGAACCTAGGACGACGATGTCGACACCGACGCCAGAGTGCTCCCGCATCGTAACTTTTTTTTATATATATATCCACTCTATTGCATATATATATATATCAAATAGGTTTTATGAGAGGGCTTAAAAGAAGGTCTAACTCACATAATACAACACATACAAAAACTTAATAAAGCAAAGATACGTAAAGATAAAAAACCAAAAAGCCACCAACGGACACAAAAGTGCTAGGGACATCCCATACGCACTCATATACATGAATGTGAACTTGAGCAACAGTTGAGAGTCTTCAAGGGTTTTCTTGACATTTCATTTGCGTTGAAGTAATCGATTTGGCAAAAGGCGCTGCGGATTCGTATTTTTTTTCAAGCGAACATAATGTTTCACCATTTCTTCGTGTAATTACATCAATCTTTCACCATTTTTTCTGCATTCGATTGGGCAACCTGTGAATTTTTTGTGGAGCTCAATCCCCAAAGCTACATAGTTCAATTTCAAGATTATTTGGCATGGTGATGAACATCTTTGCATGTCGATGTGTCCTAATGCTTCTACTGATGTCCTTAAAGTTCATCGTATTTATATTGCCATATCAGTTGATATTATCTACTAACCTTTATTTGAAATTTCTATTTTTGCTAATGTAAGATGTTAACCAACATAATGCATTACAGAATATTGAAGATATTAGGAAACACCATAAAACAAAGGTTCCCTGCTTTGATTTTGAGAATTGTACTCGGAATGGCTTCAAGGAACTCCAAGTTTCTGAGGATTGTGGAGTGGTAATCCATTTACGCTGCTGTTCTCTTTTACTTTTTTGTTTTTTTTGCCCTGTATTTGTTGGATGGTTTTGATGATACCTTTTATTCACGGGAGATTTATATGCATAACACTCAATTCCTATGTATTTACATATCTTATATCTAAACTTAAGTTTTTACATACATGTCACCTTACCTCTGCTTTCAAAGCTGTATTTCACTTTTTAAAAGTTAAAATAGTGATTTTTTTGATATGATATGAAGGTTTTGGTGTTTTAAATGTAAAAAGTAAAGTTTGGGTGTTAGATATATAAATACATATAAGTTGGGTGGCATGTATGTAAATGTTCCTTCAGTCATTTGATCTGTGAAATACTATATCTGCCCTGCTTGCATAGCGCTTGGACATTTGAACTATCATTTATATTTTATGGGTCTTCTTCGCCTTCAAATGAAATTATTATTTGTATGATTCTCTCTTACTTTTCATCTGCTTCCATTTCAAACTAAATAATATGAATCTCCAAACAACTCTATGGATCATGCAGGCTAGCTAATACTGATAAAAAGCTTGATTTTAGGAGGTGATATTCTGGAAGCTGAGTTACCCATTTATTATGGAATATTTTGTACATAAATTTTGTATACTCTGTAATCTTATTTGACTTATCATATTCATGACATCATCTGAATTTATAGCATTTTTTAAATTGTACATTTCACCAAACAAATAGGGACTTTCGGTGTTGCGTTAGGCTGTAAGATGAATAACTATGAGAAACAAGATTCTTGATAAAGGTTTGAAAGTTTTTATGTCCATTTATGTTTTAAAGTCATGGTTGTATCTCCGTAAAGATAGTCACACGACTCTATAATTTCTTCATTTTGAATATCACTAATAGAGTTTTAATTCATTGGTGTCTAGCTTGTTGAACCTAAAATATAGACCATATAAGAAACATAGTGATGCATCGAGAAGTCTTCCCCCTAAAACTGTCATGCATTCCTATCATGAGATGAAATATGCACAAAACAAATTTTGTAGAATCATAGATTCTTAACAAATTTTAACATGATATTGAAAATGCAATGGATATTTATGTTGCCACCAACAAAAATATTTTTTTCTATTCATTATAGATCCCTTTAAAGAATAAGTAAATCTTCGGTGTTGGTAAAATTCTGGGATGGGATTGAATTAATAATTTTAGAAAGGATGCCCATGAGTTACATAGAGATCATTAAAATTGGTTGTTCTTATTTCAATTATCTCATATTCATTAGTTTATTAATTAATTTCTTTTGTTTTGTTTTATTTCTACATTGGCTTAGAATTCCTTTAACCATCTAAGATATGTAGTAGCATTTAAGAAATTAACACATATCTGATGGGGATGACTTCATGAATTTAACAGTTATGATTTCTAGTGATAGTTTATCAACTTAATGAACAAATTATGCTCCGAAGTTTAAATGACGTGCTTTAACCTTCCATTCAAAATAATTTATTTTTTAAAAAAATCAGGGTCAATTTTATTTTTGTGCATAGATTTTGAGGCATGTGAAGTTGATTTAGCTTTAGCTTGATTTTGTCGTTTTTTATTATGTGATTGACTCAATTTGGGAAGTGTTCTTTTAATAAATTTGTAGGCTTCGAAATCAAATGGAAGAGAGTGCTTCACATTGAGTGTTCCTAATCAAATTTTGAGAATGCTGATTTGACAGTAAATAAAATACTACCTAGAGATTTTACTCTTATTTTGTGAGCATTTTTTGATTCGGGGTTCGTGATTTCTCATTTGCATAAGCCCTTATAGTTTATTACTCAATTCTAAAATGGAAGAATACTTTCTATTAAGGTTAGTCAATAGGATATTGATCGTTTGATATATGGTAACGAAAATTTAATTTTAGATTATATAAATTTATCATTGTGAACTTAAAGCAGATGTTTGAGAGATTGATGATGAATCTGATCAATATCTTTTGGTTTTGTCATCCATGGTTATCATACCTAGTCTATTAAGTTAGAGAGTTGATCTATCAGATATAAGGATTATTTTTAACAACTATGAGCTATTTTATCCAATGAGAACTTGTAGAATGGGGGTGGCTCTTTGTTTATGTGGACTAATTTAAGTGAACCTTAGTTAACAGACTGTTCGTAATATAGTAGAGCCTACAGATAAATCACCTGGTTGGAGGGCTCTTGTCTTGGCCTTTATTTTGTGCAGACGACTAGCCAAACCATATAGATAGATGACTTGAGCTTCATTCTTACTACATTAGATTTTTTTGAGTGTGAATATAGTAGTATATTTTAGATGATATTTGTTTTGTGAACTTAAATTATTCTCAAATTTGTCACTATAGAAATGGTTGTAGATGGTAGATGGATAAAATTCAGCTTACATATGTTTATATATTTAAATTTTATAATTTGAATTTTTTTTAATGAAAATATATTCGTTCAAATTAGATTCACGTTCAACATAAATATCACTGGGGATTTTGGCAGTCACTTTATTTATAAACATAATTTTTGTTGGAATTTATAATTTGAATATCATTAGTTTATCAGTCTTGTCAACTTCAGTCATTGTAAGAAGACTGATCAGACTGCCTCAATAGGGGTTTAACCTTGTGAACTCTTGTCCTCATTCGGAGGAGGATCAGATTAATTATTGTGATACATATGACCTGACCTTATAGATAAGTTAGCTTTTTCAAGAGTGAGCATCGATTAATGATTATTGAATTTAATTTTGAAAAAAATATTATTTGAAAATCTAATTAGATTTGCAAGTTTTTTTGAAGCAGATTAGATTGGAGCTTAAATATATATTTAACCAACACATTATTGTTACATGCTTAAATTTAAGAACTATCATCGGAGCACATGTGAGTGTTTGATTTTGATAATGTGCATGCATCTCGGTGCACCTACTCTATTCACCTGCTTTTATTTCAGTGCACGTGCATAAATTTTGCACTCTTTCATAGATGCATAATAAAATTGCACTAATTTCAATATAATTGCACGCTTCGCTATGAATTTCTGGATGCAGTTGCATGCTCTTCAAGGCACATCAAGATATTGTGTTATTATGCATGCACACTTCAATGGCATTTAAATTAGTCAATTGTGTGTGTTTATGAGGTTGATGCACGGCTTTTTAAGCATTTGCATGAATATCAAGGCAACTTATTTGAATTGAAAATAGTATCGAAGATTGTGTTATGTTTCGTAATTATCTAAATTTTGGGGGTTTTACTCGAGTCCCGTTAGTCTTAATTTCGACATCGTCTGCGTGCAGGGGCTCACTTTTAGAAAGCTTATGGTTTTATTAAAGAGTTGAAATAAGTTTTGAGTTAAATCATGATTAAGATTAGATTAGGTTATAATTGAATTAAATTTGATTTTAATTAATTTAAACTTCAATTTGACTACGTATGTTCATGCCTTAATTGAATTTAAATTAGGCTATTATGGGTTTAGACTTTGTTTGATTGAACTTAGGTTGAGTTTGGATTTAATTTTAGGTTTAGTTATCTTATATTAAATTCAAATTTCAATTTGTATTTGAATATAGTTTTAGGTTTAAGTTTAAATATTAATTAGATTTACTTAACGATATTCAATGTTATATAGTGGTTTAGGAGATGTTTAAATCAAATTTTAATTTTGGTTAATTTTATCTTTGATCTTAGTTTAGGGCTAAGCAAACCCGTGAAGCCATCCATGGGTTGAACCTAACCCATTCAGTTTAGGTTTAAGTGTTAATGAGGTTTAATTAACTGTAATCAATGTTATTTTGAGACTTGTCTTCCAGTGGTCTTCAATTTAGAGAGATGTAGCCTATTCTCTTTCAAGTGGTGAATCTATTTCTTGAAGAGAAAAGTGGTGGATCCTCGCTGTAATCTGCACTTTGCTGTTTTGGCCTGTCTCAGTGTTTTCAGACTAGGCGGCTACCGAACTGCTTCACCTTTTTCCATGCTCCGCCGATTTTGTATATTCTTTTCTTCTTACCATTTTACAGCTTCTCCCCACTAAGTATGATCCTTAAACACTTTATAGGAACCCGATCTATTTATAATTTTGGCTACAAACTTCTGGAGATTTAATCCTAGAGTAAATCATGGATGACCATATTTAAAGCCTTATGATTCTTGCTATTACTTCGTTGTTGATCATTTCCTTTGATATCCCAGTCTACATCCATCTACGTAAATCGTTGGCATCCTTGAGAAATTTATGGTTTGAATTTCTCATAATACTGGTACAGGTTCTAATAATTAGGACAATATAAGAACACATTTAATTTAAATTAATTTGTATTAATTGTTTAAAAAGTTGGTATATAGTGTAGATGAGAATATTTTCTTAGACTATTAATGAGCCTGAGATAACTAATGTAATAAATTATTTGTCAAAAACATTCTTGATATTTATTAACATTACTTTTTTTTCAAGGTTTAAAAGCCTGCACTTATTGCAGTACTTATGAACTATTGAGTATTTATTTTTATTTTTAATAATTTGTGTAATTATTATTAGAATTTACAATTTGAATTTTATTCCACTTATTTGCTGAAGGATAAAATTGTGATGAGATGTTAACTGTTGAAATGGTCCGACATTATGTTCCAGTTTTCATAGCATGAGACCAACTCAAGTTTTAGTTTTTTTTTCTATTGTAGCTGATGATAATGATATTCTATGCAGGCTTTGTACATAGAAAATAGTACATGAAATATGTGTTTTTTGCTTTTTATATGATGCTCTTTTTATTGCAACTTAATAGGTCATTTTTGAAGGGGTGTATGCATTGCATCCAGAAATAAGGAGATCTCTTGACTTGTGGATTGCTGTTGTAAGAATCATTTAACGTTGCTCTGTGGTTGATTTACTTTTGCTTGTCGGTGTTTTGGAATGATCCAAAAGATTAATGCCCATTGCCAACTATACTCTGAAAACAGGTTGGCGGTGTCCATTCTCATCTTATTGCAAGAGTTCTAAGAGACAAGAACAGAAATTTTTGTTCACTATCTCAGGATGAAATAATGAGAACAGTATTTCCAATGTTTCAGCAGCATATTGAGCCTCATCTTGTGCATGCGCATGTTGGTATAGGCTGAGCATTTCTGTGCTTATTTTATGATTCTTCGTTCCTCACAAACAAATAGCAGTTTCTCTTCAAAATGCCTAAAAAATTGATGTCTTTCTTCCAGCTAAAAATTCGCAATGACTTCGACCCCGTACTTTCTCCCGAAAGCTCACTTTTTGTTCTGAAAAGCAACAAACAGGTGAAAAGAAAAATCATTTGGTATACTTATGCTTCAATGAAGTTGACACATTCTTAGAGCCGTCACTGTATCTGTGAAATTTTTTCTATCCGAATCAGGTTGTGTATCAAGACATACTGAAAGTGCTCGACCCAAACAAGGTTTGCACCTCCATGCAGAACTTTATTGATATATATTTAAGACTTCCTGGAACACCATCTAATGGGAATCTGACAGAAAGTGAGTGCATAAGAGTTAGAATATGTGAAGGAAGATTTGCTTTGTTGATACGAGAGGTATGTTGTTTAACTTGCTGTACTTTCAATCAAATTGCTTACTGGACCCGAATATCATTTGCTGTGTTTTCATTATGTAGCCCATTATTGAAGGAAACTTCATTGTACAGCCAAAAGTTGATTTTGATATCAGTGTCAGTACAGTTGCAGGTCTTCTGAATCTTGGGTGAGGAGCATTTAAATCAATTGTCATGCTTGGATTAAATTTTTTCCTCCTATTTAATTTATGCTACCGATGATAGAGTAGAAAAAATTTTTGGAGGTTTTTTGTAATTTAATCCTTAAAATTTTGTACATATAGAACTAGAGTGGCACCAAAATGTTTTATTTATCATTAACTTTGCTTTTTAATTGGATAAAAATGCTTCGTTCGATTTCTTTCTTATAATATTTGGTATTGCCAAATTCTTCCTTGTGCTATCAGGTATCAAGCTGTGGCTTATATTGAAGCGTCTGCTTTAATTTACCAAGATGGAAAGGTATTCTCTGTCCTTTGATGTCTGCATGCTTTCCTATATTTTAGGCACATCTAAAACATTTGGATTTTGTTTGGGATCAATTTTGTGCTTTATTTTGTTTTAAAAAACATTTTTGTTTAGTATGTTTTTTATATGTTTTAATTTTTGGCTTCTAAAAGTAAATTAACTTATTGTGAAAAAACTCAAAAAATTTTTGGGTGTTTAAGTTTTATTAACAACAACTATACTTTAATCAAATAGCGAAGTATGTTTGATTTCAAACAACACTTAAACAAAATAAAATAAAAATAAAAAATAAAAAATAAAAAATAAAAAATAAAACAAAAATGATCCTAACCTCTAAATGTGTCACTTAATCATCTCCTTAAAAATTATTCTGTGCATCTGTTATGCAACACATGTTACAATTAATGTGTCAGCTTTCTGGACTCATTTATGGTAGAAGTCATTAGAGAATTTCACTCATCATGTTTTTCTTGTGTTTTTGTTTTTTTTTTTGAACTCATGAAAATTATTATTTTTTTGTTATTGGGATGTCAAGATCAAGAACTTTTTTAAATGTTGTTTGTTAAGACCTTAAGGGGCCATTTGCGATCACTTTTTTTTTTATTTACATTTTGTTTTGTTTATGTTTTGATTTGAAACAAAATATGTTTGTCTATTTGATTAAACTGTGATTGTTTTTAAAAACTCGCACCTAAAAGTTATTTAACACCTAAAAGTTATTTTGAGTGTTTTAAAAAAAAATAATTTCTTTTTAGAAACAAAAAACATAAAAACGAATAAAAACACACTAAACAAACATATTAAAAAAAAAGAGAAAAGTGATCTCTATTGACCCCTAAATTTTTTTTATGGGAGACGGGCACCAAGAGAGCTATGTGGAGTTGACACACTACGTTACTCAAGAGCTATTGAATATAATCAATCCTCAGTTGTCTTTACTCAATTTCCTTAATCACTAAAATGAAAAAAATGAAGTGATTTTGCACTCTAAAAACTTGAAGTAGCATACTAGATTGTAGATTAGACATTACCCAGAAGTTTTATTTTTATTTTGCTAGAATTTCAAGTTTGATTTCAAATTATTGATTGGCACAAGACTTTATGGTCAGTTCTTAATTTGGGTCATGAGAGAGAGTTTTTAAATAAATTCAGTAAAAGCTAAGAAAATAGCTTATAATAGCAATAATCAATGACCCTAGTTTCTTCAGTTAAAAGTTATAATTGACTTGATATGTTCTTATGGATTTTTGTTAGCAGCCATTAGTGGCATTGTGTTAGGAGATCCTGTAGACTTGTTACGGATGTCTTTTAGGGAGATATTTTTTAGTTGATCTTAGCTCATCATCATGATCATAATCATCATCCTAATTTTATTGCAAATGGCATAATGAGATTTCATCAAATGAGGAATCCCATGACATGATTTTACAATCATGTCTAGAACGAAAAGCCATCAAGACCTACATATTCACATAGAATCATGATATGTGATCTATATCTAATTGCAAATAAGGGTTGACACTATTTATTTGAAAGGGTCTATTAGCCTTGCCACAAAAGGTGGCTTGGTTTCTGATTTAATTGTTTTGTCCTAACACAAAAGGTAGCCTAGTTTCTGATTTATTTGTTTTGTCCTAAGTGTGTTAAAAAAATATCTCTAGTATGTAGACTCGTTCAGTTATGTACATGTATGAGGTAGCCAGAGATTTTTATTGACGCCAGAGAGTATATTTTTAATATATAAAGCAGTAAGCCAAACATTGACTACAAATTTATGATCCATTAAAGGCGTTGATGGCTTTAAGTGGGTCATGTATTTAATCACTACAAGAAATTAAGTGATTACCAGCGAACAAATTAGTCAGTAATCACATATTTTTCAGCCGGTAAACCACTTTATCGGTTGAACTTTGTTGGATGGGAATAGTTTTATCGGAAAGGAAATGGTGGTTGAATTTTTCAGCTGTTAAACATTATTGACAGATTAGCAGTTTACTTTTTAACCGCTAGAGTACTTTGTTGTTGATTAACGGTTAATTATCATTTATTTAACGGCTGAAATGCTTAGCCGTTAATAAAATAGCGGCTGATAATTCACTCTCTAATCAGGTGAAAACTGTAGCTAGTAAAGAAAATAGTTAGTGTACCTAACCAATAAAAGTTTACACACCTGCAATTGTAAACTAAAATAACTTGCATTCATATTCATAATATCTCATTATAGTATAAAAGAACAAATAGAGAATAAGATGGAACGAAATCATAATAAATATATGAACAATTATCAAAAAATCTAGTATACTAGTATCCATAGAATAAATGAACTAAAATATGAATGAAATCATACACACACAGGAAAAGAAAGCTAATCGTGCTGCTTCTTCTAAACCAAAGGTTGCTTGCTACAAGAAAGTGACTGACACTGCAGCTGGGCAATAGTAGCCTTGAGTCTCTCAACCCTAGCATTTCTAGCTTGCTCCATCGCCTTCATCCTAGATTCCATCTCATATAACTGAGCGGTGATGATGGTTTGCAACTTCTCGGTCAGTACGACTACACGTCTGGAGACTCTGATGTCATAGAGTATATTTTTAATCTATAAGACAGTGAGCTAAACATTTGACTACACATTTATGATCCATTAAAAAGGCATTGATGGCTTTAAGTGAGTCATGCATGTAATCACTACAAGAAATTAAGTTATTACCAGCAGACAAATTAGTCAGTAATCAGATATTTTTCAGCCGGTAAACCACTTTATTGACTGAAATTTGTCGGATGGGAATAGTTCTATCGAAAAGGAAGTGGCTGTTGAGTTTTTCAGCTGCTAAACATTACAGGCTGATTAACAACTGACTTTTCAAACGCTAGAAAGTATTTTATGGTTGATTAACAGTTGATTATCATTTTTTAGCGACTAAAATGTTTAATTGCTAATAAAATAGTGGTTGAAAATTCACTCGCTAATCAAGTGAAAACTATAGCAAGTAAAAAAGATAGTTAGGGTACCTAACCAATAAAATTTTACACACCTGCAATTGTAAACTGAAATAACTGGCATTCATATTCATAATATCTCATAATTGTGTAAATGAACAATAAGAGAATAAGATTGAACGAAATCATAACAAATGTATAACAAATATCAATATATCTAGTATAATACTATCCGTAGAATAAATGAACTAAAATACAAATGAAATCCTACACAAACAAGAAAAGAAAGCTAATTGTGCTGCTTCACTTAAACCAAAGGTTGCTTGCCACGTGAAAGTGCCTGGCAATGCAGCTGGGCAATAGTAGCCTTGAGTCTCTCAACCCTATCATTTCTGGCTTTCTCCATAACCTTCATCCTAGATTCCATCTCATATAACTCAGCAGCGATGGTGGTTTGCAACTTCTCGGTCAGGGCGACTACACGTCTAGAGACTGACATCAGAGAGTATATTTTTAATATATAAGACGGTAAGCCAAACATTGACTACACATTTTGATCCATTAAAGGCGTTGATGGTTTAAAGTGACTCATGTATTTAATCACTAAAAGAAACTAAGTGATTACCAGCGGAAAAATTAGTCAATAATCACCTATTTTTCAGCTGGTAAACTGATTTATTTGTTGAACTTTGTAGGATGGAAATAATTTTATCGGAAAGGAAATGACGGTTGAATTTTTCAGTTAAACATTACATGCAAATTAGTTGCTAACTTTCCAACCGCTAGAGTATTTTGCGGTTGATTAATGATTGATTATCATTTATTTAGCGGTTGAAATGTTTAGCTGTTAATAAATTAGCGGTTGAAATTTTACTCGCTAATCAGGTGAAAACTATAGCAAGTAAAGAAAATAGTCAATAAAATTTTACACACTTGCAAAGTTAAACAAAGTAACTGACATTCATATTCATAATATCTCATAATAGTGTAAAAAACAATTAGAGAATATAATCGAACGAAATCATAACAAATATGTGAACAAATATCAATGAATCTGGTATAATAATATCCCTAGAATAAATGAACTAAAATATAAATGAAATCCTACACACACAGAAAAAGAAAGCTAATCATGTCGCTTCTCCTAAACCAAAGGTTTCTTGTCACGTGAAAGTGCCTGTCGCTGATGTTGGGCAATATTAGTTTTGAGTCTCTCAACCCTAGCATTTTTGGCGTGCTCCATGGCCTTCATCATAGACTTAATCTCATTTAACTCAGTAGTGATGGTAGTTTGCAACTTATCGGTCAGTGCGACTACACGCCTGGAGACTCTGTATTCAACCAATGATAACCTTTGGTCGGAGCTGAAGTGTTGCATCTCATAGACAAATCTTTATGGGTCGAGATCGTAGATCCTCCCCTTCTTTCTCGCCCGATTAGCTTCCCTCCAAATCTTGAAGTCAAGGTGGTCAGACTTACTATTAGAGCTACCAACTTCTGCAGGTCATTGATACTGGGACTCTTTCTGCGTGTACCAATTCTACAGAAGATTATAAATGGTAGTTAGCATCGAAATAAAATTATAAATACATTTCACATGTAAAGCAGAAATTACTCATGCAGAGATGATTATATATGTTGTCGACCCATTGTTGATCTGCCTAGTGCTGACGTGTGCAAGCATGCAACTCAGCTGTGGACTCTCGTCCACGCTTCAACTTCTATTACCATATAAACAGCTTGAAAAAAAAATTATAGAAATTATTTTAATGCAGGGCTTAAATCGTATCGGGGCATAAAGTTTACCACCTTTCCTCTGTTGTGTAAGCTCCTTTTTCCTGACATAGTCAGGAGAGAATCACGTTCTGGCTCGGCCCATACGTCCTCACCTATCCAGATAGGCTACTCTCACTTCTCTGTTGATCATAGTGAACATATCTCACAAGTGGTTCTAGCCTTGGGTCTCGAAGTTCCTTCGAATCCAGTGATTATGTTCAACATGCCACTAGAAGTTCTACAAATAAATACTAAACAATGTTTTTTATTACAAAAAAATA